ATTGGAAAATAATACAACTGAAGCATTGGTTCAAATGGCTGTCACAAACAGAAACAGACTATTACCTATGTACACAATGAAAGACCAAAGTTTTCTTCATCTGTAAATTCAAGAAATTCATTGTCCATTAAAAAAAATAATAACCAAACTAAATCCACAAATGCCCTTTGTTTCATCATTGTAATACTGATCTTTTATTTCTGACATGAAGCAGCATGAACTCAAATACATTATTCATGAAAATTAGGGTTGTTTCTTTAAAAATTCTATTCAGTTCAGCTGGTTATAATGAGTTTGTATTTGTCAAGTGGTTTTTATGCTTAAATGAAAAGGTAATGATAAACAACCATTGGAACTGCTAGATGTACTAATTCTGTGCTAGGCTTTATATGACATGCTGCTTTGCAAACCAGGGCCCCTGGAGTAATCAATGTGGATATGAAAATGAGCACATTATTTCACTGCTAACATGTACTGCCAGATGAAAGAGAAGGTGTGGGGCCTACTGTTGTTTTTATTTTTCTTCCTGGAATGATTAACTGAGTAAGAAACAGTGTAGGCAGGGTGTTCTAAATCCAAAGTTTCATCATGGAATTTTAGGACTTCTTCCAATGTATGTGAACTTCATAAGAAAAGGCTACATTGCCAACTCCCAGTTCAAATAAGATGTTGTCATACTTGGCCTTCATTTTACTGATGGGGAAACTGAGGTTCACAGATGTAAATATTAAAGAAACAAACATGAAAAAGGATTTCTTAGTTAAATTAAGACAGCTTGGAGGATAACAGCCACTGGAATCTCAAGCACTTCGCACTGCATCTCATTGGCAAAGGAGGCACTATTATAATGCCCTTTAGACACATAAAATAATTGATGCTGCATAACTTGCCCAAGGTCATGGAACTTTTAAATCAGAGTCAAGGCTTAAACTCCCTCTGTCTGATGTCTATCTCTGTGCTTCAATCTGATACTACCAGTACAAAATACTTTCTATAGTGCTATTGTCTTTGGCCACATAGTTACTGTTCAAGCAATCCATAATTGCAGTTTTGATAAAGAAAAAGCATAGAACAGATGTTTATTCACCCTTAGTCAACACTTCTACCTGTTGCAGCTGACCTAGATCCCTGGTAGAAGATAGGTTTTTGTATCAGTGTGTCAAGGAAGGCTTTCTGAAAGCAGTGTTCAGTTGTTACCTACATCTACAATTTATCAGATTTTCATTCTACATTTAGGAACCTCGTGGAGGAAAGTGGAGTGTCTTGATTTACCAGGAAACTTCTTGAGAGTTTGACACTATGGTTTGGTTTGCTTTTTTAGTTCTCAAGTGAAGGAAGCTCTGGAGAAGATAATTTAAAATGTAGATCCCAGACCCCAGCCTATGTGATTTGATTCACTAGGTCTACAGGAGTCTAGGAATCTGTATTTTTGAAGCTTTAAAAATATAATGTTTCCCTGGTCACTGACCTTTACTCTCTTCCTAGGGGAAACTGCTTTAGACACTTTTGGTACTTTCATGTAGCATTTATATATCTTCATAGTTTTGGAGTGCTACTGAGATAAGTTACAAAGTGTTGTGGCCTTCTAAGCCCCATCTCAGACTGGTTCTGGTGTTTCACATTAGATATTAAATAAATATTTATTAAGAACCTATTAAAAGAAGAAAAATAAGACTTATTAGGGCCCTACTTTGTGCAAGGTTTTTACAAACATCTCATAGAGTACTTACTACCACCCTATGAAGTAGGTATGTACTTACCCAGGTCACAGGTTTGTAAGGGGTAGAGGTGGGCTGTGAATCTAATCCCAGTTGACTGAAAATCCAGTGCTTGTCTCAGTAAACCACAGTGCAGAACTCTGGCAGAATGCCCGATCTCAAAGAGCTTTCTATTTGCAAAAAAGAAAGAGAAAGAAAATAGGGAGAAGTCTTAGGAGCAACTCAGTAAGTGTGACTCATCCTATGTGTTTTTATTGTATATATACCTCCTCTAATCCTGGCCCAGCATGAGGCACTGGATGGAGATCCTGTATCAGTGCCCCTCTGCTCCATCTCTCCTAACCCCATGTCCACAAAGAAGGCAGAATGAGA